GAAATTGCCAACTCTCACTAGGACGTCCTCCAAAATACCCCTAGGATTAATGAGAAAGCGATAAGCCAATGTAACAATAAGCCTAGTGGGCTTCAATTCACCCAAATGCAACTTCTTAAAAGCTTGTAAGGCATCACATTAATGCTTGCTCCTATGTCCACCAAGGAGTTTTCTATATGATAATTTCTGATGCAAAGAGGTATAGTGAAACTACCTGGATCCGGTTGCTTTCTAGGCAACTTGTTGAGGATAAAGGCAGAGAACTCCTCGCCTAAGGTGACATTGGAGAGGTCTTCATATTTTGGCTTCTTGGCAAGAAGCCCCTAGAGTTATTTGGCATACCTCGGCATGTGCACCATGGCCTCCAAAAATGGAATGGTGATGCAGAGCTTCTTGAGCATCTCCATGAATCCTCCACACTCTGCCTCCAATCGGTTCTTATGCAACCTTTTGGGGAAAGGAAGAGGAGGCTTGTACTCAGTCACTTGTGGTGGCGTTGGCAATGCCTTCTTAGGCTCATCTTTCGTTTCTCCCACTTTTTCAGGATCATTGTCCATTGGAGGGATCTTCTCTTCTTCATTCAATTCCTTAGGAACAAATAAAGGTAACCTTCCCACTCTTGAAAAGAAGAGCATTGCAACCTTCATTTTGGTCTTTGGGTTGACAATGGTTTGAGTGGGTAGCATGGTTGTCAAACTGGTTTCATGCCGGCTGGTTTAACCGGGTTCAACCGGTACCGGTCAGCAAACCGGCTGGAAAGGGGCCGGTATTTAACTGTGGTCAAATCCAGAAATTCCGGCCGGTTAGACCAGAAACCGGAATTTAATGTTACACACATTATATCCAAAAATAAACATCCTCTATAGGATTTGAACCAAGTACCTCATGTTCATTTTAGTTTAACTTACACAAATCATTATAAACATTAATATAATTCATTTAATAAAATTTTACTTTTAAGCATCTAATTGTTTAGTATTAGTTACTGATTCTTAGCTATAAATTATTTTGTGTGAAATAATTCTTCTAATTGCTTTTTGATAACTAATTTATTTGGAATTGAAGATTTCCATTTTCCTCATATATTTTATTAAAACCGATACAACCGGCATGAATACTGGTTGTACCACGGTCAGACCATTCCACTTACAAAATTGACACACCGGCATAAACCGGTTTGACAACCTTGGTGGGTAGGGATCCCCTTGGCCTCTCAGTGAGGATCCCAACAAGATTTCTAATTTGCACATCCATGTTTTGATGGTTTGATTGATGTCTCCTTAATCCCACCTCAATCGAGGTAAACTTTATTGTTGCTACATCAATAAATTTCTCAATCTTCTCAAACTTTTGAATGCTCATGCTCACAAAGGTGGTCACAAGGTCTTCAAGTTTTGCAAACTTATTGAGTTGTTGGAATCCTTGACCTCCTTGAGCTTGAAACGGTTGTTGGAAGTTAGAGCCTTGGAATTGGGGCCTTTGTTGAATGAAAGTAGGCCTTGTTTGATAATTTCCCATTGGTCCTTGGAAACCAGTGGGTATTGGATTGGTTGGGGAAGACCAAGAGAAATTCGGATGATTTCGCCACCCCGGGTTGTAAGTGTTGCTATAGGGGTTGTTCCCCCTAGCATTGGCAATGAAACTCACTTGCTCCTCGGGGGGTGCTTGATTCCTTCATCATTTGACAATCCAAAATCTCGTGGTTTGTACTTGAACACCAATCACACGTCATCACTGGCCTTTTCCCATGCTTCTTGTCCTTTTGGAGTACCTCAATCAAACGATCAATCTTTGCTTCAAGCGGGGGGCTTGCTCCTAGACTTTTCACTCCCCTTGTGGTGCTTCTCTTTCCATTTTTTTTCAAGCCCCAATCATACCCTTTACTTGCCATGTCTTCAAGCAACTCGGTCACTTGGGGTGGAGTCATGTTCATCAATTTCCCTTGACATAAGGAGTCAATGAGGATCTTGTCGTCTTGGTGGAGACCGCCATAGAAGGTCTCAATATGGAATTGCTCCTCAAATCCATGATGTGGGCATTGGTGGAAGTAATTGGAGTACCTTTCCCAAGCATCCCTCAATGTTTCATCCTCCTCTTGCTCAAAACGCGTGATCTTCTTGGCACTCCGCCGTCTTTCAAGGTGGGCAATACCAAGTCATAAACTTGTTGAGCATATCATCCCATGAAGTGATCGAGAGAGCCGACGTATTGTTAAGCCACCGAGATGCATTTCTCGCAAGAGAGTAGGTGAATAGCCACAACTTCAAAGCATCCTCGGGGATACCATTAATATTTAAAGTCCCCGCAAGCTCAATGAACTTCTGAACATGCTCCTTCGGAGACTCGTTGCTAAGCCCATGAAATAGAGTATTGTTTTGAATCATGGTGACAAGGGCGGGCTTGATCACAAAAAATTTGGCGGCCACAGGCAGATGTCGAATGGCGGGTTGAATATCCGATGGCCTTAGAGCAATGTAGTAGCCCATGGTCCTTGGTGGCTCCTCCGCGGCCGCTCCTCCTTGATAGGGTTGATTAACCGCCATCTCTGCTTCACTTCCTTCCTCTTCGGAATCAACCCCTTCCTCAACTACAACTTCCTCTTCTATCCTCCTTCTTGCCTCCGCTAATTCCCTCTCACGAGCCAAGTGTCGGAGAGTGCAGTTGAGATCCTCGTCTAGTGGCGCTAAAGGTGTCGGATTACTCTGGTTCATACACCTCCCTGCACACACTCAAAAGAAGCACAACACGTCTATCACAAACAAGATTTTCACACACAAAAGCGAAAATTAAAATCTAGATTAACACCAAACAATCTTTTCAAAATAATGAACCGTTTCAACCCGGCAACGGCGCAAAAAACTTGACTCGTACCGAATACCACACTACAACTCCCAATTAAGGCCCAAGTATAAAGCTCAATTTGGTGCAGTATAGGGCAAGTATGTTTAAATATCGACCCTGGTCGGTTCATGTATAACTACTTCGATTGTTTGTAACATTATCTAGCGGTTGATTTTTAGTGAAAACAACGATCTATAGCAAACACTTTTGCAAAGGTAAATGGATTTGACACTAATTAAAAAGGCTTCACCCAGGTGTTGCTCCCCTAGCTAACAATTACGACTTATTGGATCGAATGGTCCTGTGTGGTAAGGGGGACGACTCCGTACTAGGAGAAGGGAAAACACAAGAGAAGAAGGAAAACCATCAATGAGATGCTAGCCTTGCTCCTTGTGTTGAAGAGATCCTCCTTTGGGGGAGGAATTCCCAAATTCTTGCTTGAAGATGAAACCCTACCTTCTCCTCTACTTTGGTTTGTCACTTTCTCACTCTAGAAATCTGGAGAAGAATAAGTTTCTCACACTAGGTGATGCAGTAGAGGAGGTGGCGCACAGGTTCCTTGAGCAACACAATCGAGTTCGGCGGACTGCGGGGTAGCAGAGGGACGTAGCGTCCGTGCATGGAATTTGGTTTTCTTTGTCATTATTACTTTCTGTATTTGTTTGGGTTTGAACTCCTGTTATTAGGGTTGGCCTCCTCCCATACACTATATATTTTTCGTAAACACCAGAACAAGATTTTCTTTAGTTTTTGATGAATAAACAGAATTGGGCGACGTCGCTCTTTCCCCCAAGTTCAGAGGTGGTATTCCTCGGCTATGTTATCTCCGCCGAGGGAATGCAGGTTGATATATCAAAAGTGGAGGCTGTGCGACAGTTGCCTAGGCCACGCACGTTGATCGATGTGCGGAGTTTTCATGGACTTGCATAGTTCTATCGGCGGTTTATTCCACATTTCAGCAGCATCATGGGGGCCAATAACGGATGCCATGTGTGGCAGTCACTTCTCGTGGACTAACGAGGCCAAAGCAGCATTCGATCAGCCCTTCGAGATATACTCGGATGCGTCGAAGGTGGGAATTGGTGCTGTTTTGAGTCAGAACCACCGCCCCATTGCCTTCTATAGTGAAAAATTGACTGGTGCAAACTTGCGGTATAATACTTACGATGTCGTGTTTTATGTTGTCGTTCGAGCAGTGAAGCATTGGCGCCATTATCTATTTCATCGTGAGTTCATTCTATATACCGACCACGAAGCCCTCAAACACTTGCACGGCAAAGACTAGGTCTCGACCCGACATGCTGCGTGGGTGGCCTACTTGGAGCGCTTTACATTTGTGGTGAAGCACACTAGTGGGTAACTAAACAGGTTGCAGACGCATTGGGACGGCGTTGGACTCTCATGGGACGCATGACAGTAGAGGTACCCGGCTTTCGTACTTTGCCTGATTTATTGGAAACTTACACTTTCTTTGCTGGTGTGCTTGTGCGGGTTCGAGTAGGTGAACGAATAGGGAATCTACTGCAAGATGGGTTTCTTTTCAAGGGAAACCAATTGTGCATTCCGGATTGTAGCCTATGCACCTTAATCAAGATGGGTTTCTTTTCAAGGCCATGTGGGGCGAGATTGCACCTTATGGCTTGTGTAGGGAAGCTATTTCTGGCCGACCATGCGGCGGGAGGTTCAACGGTTCGTGCAACACGTCCATACTTGCCAAGTATCGAAGGGCACTGCTACGAACGGTGGGTTATAAATGCCTTTACCTCTCCCGTCCGGGCCCTGGGAAGACATTAGCATGTGAACGATTCTATTTATGTTGTCGTTGACCAATTCTAAGATGGTGCATTTTCTCCCTTGTAAGAAGACAACAAACGTTGTTCGGGTGGCGCAGTTATACTTCCGGGATGTCTAAAGGTTGCCCACCTCAATTGTTTCCGATAGAGACACTCGGTTTTTGAGTCATTTTTAACGCAGTCTTTGGCGAATGGTGAATACCGAGCTGCAGTTCAGTAGTGCCTATCATTCGCAAACGGACGACCAAACCGAGATCGTCAATTGGTTGTTAGGTAACTTATTTAAGGTGCTTGGTCGGTGACAATGTGAAGAGTTGGGATTTGAAGCTTTGCCAGACCGAATTTGCTCATAACCATGTCGTCAAACAGAGCACATGATTTGGTCCCTTACAAGTTGTTTATTCACGTTCCCCACGTAGACCACTCGACTTGATGGGGCTGTCATACCCTTCCCGCCTTCATGGTAAGGCTGTAGAGTTTGTTCGTGGATTGCAGGACACCCACCAGCTGGTGCATACTAACCTGGAGAAGGCAGCGGGCAAGTACAAAAAGGTGGTTGATAGGAAGCGCCGCCATGTGGAGTTCTACGTGGGTGACTATGTGTGGGCGATTCTGACCAAAGACCACTTTTTCGCAGGAGATTATCACAAGCTGGCGGCCAGAAAGATCCGGCAAGTGGAGATTATTGAGAAGATCAACCCCAATGCTTATTGTCTCAACTTGCCCAGTCATATTCGTACCTCGGATGTCTTTAATGTCAACCACCTTGTTCTGTTTGTTGGCGATGACTCAGACGACGACCATTAGAGGGCGAATTATGTCCACCCCAGAGAGGATGATGTAGTAGAGGAGGTAGTGCACAGATTCCTTGAGCAACACGATCGAGTACGGCGGGCTGCGGGGTTGCGGAGGGACGTAGCATCCGTGCAAGGAATTTGGTTTTCTTTGTCATTATTACTTTCCGTATTCGTTTGGGTTTGAAATCCTATTATTAGGGTTGGCCTCCTCCCATAAACTATAAATATTTGTCGTAAACACCAGAACAAGAGTTTCTTTAGTTTTTTATGAATAAACAGAATAGGTCGCCGTCGCTCTTTCCCCCAAGTTTGAGTTCTTGTGAGTTCGTTCTTGATGCCATTAACCTAGTTATTCTTTGAATCAATAGGTTAGTGACGATCGGCTCTCAGTATTCCATATAATCAACGGGTTTGATATTTCTGTCCCGGTGTACGCTGCGTCACTATGTCTCTCCCCTTTTTTCTCTTAAGCTCAACCTCCTTTATATACCCAGATCAGGCTCAGATCACGATCTCAGTTCACGGCTGTGAACTAAAATCCTGGACTATGATCTCAAGTCGAAACGCGTCGTATCACTAAGTCATGTTCACGGGCAATGGCATGTGTTCACGGTCTTACCTTCGTGAATGACTTGTGCCCAATGAAAGAGATTTGTGCTCTGAATGCCTGGTTGTTCACGGGCAGTGCCTCCAGTTCACAGTCTTAGTGATCGTGAACACACAACCCAAACCGTGATCTGCTGCTGCTTCCACCCTTTGACTTGATTTTTCACCCTTTCATCCAAATTTCGAATCTGGGGGTTGGTTCTACCTGCCAAAGTATGAAAAAACCAAAACAAGGCAAAACCCGACGTAAAACCAAACCTCCCAGAGTAAAAATGCTCCAAAGGACTAAACAAATCGGGGTAAAAGGTGTACGAATGAGCCCGAATTAACAAGTCGATGTTGTCAATACCTTGGCTAGTGGCAAAATAATGGAAATTGATCAAGTCCAACAAACTCGATCCACTATCTATCCATCATAGATCGAGTCATCCTCCCTCGATCCGCGTTGGTCAAGTGCTCCTCCCTCGGTCCGCTTTGGATCGAGTCCTCCTCCCTTGATCCGCGTCAATAGGTCTCTCCCCTTTTTTCTCTTCATCTCAACCTCCTTTAAATACCCAGATCGAGCTCAGATCACGGTCCCAGTTCACGGTGGTGAACTGAAAGCCCGGACCGTAATCTCAAGTTTAAAGCGCCGCATCACTAAGTCTTGTTTCACGGGAAATGGCTAGTGTTCACGGTCTTACGACCGTGAATGACTTGTGTCCAATGAAATCGATTTGTGCACTGAATGCCTGTTTGTTCATGGGTAGTGCCTCCAGTTCACGGTCTAAGTGATCGTGAACACAGCCCAAACCGTGCACTGAATGCCTGTTGGATCGAGTCCTCCTCCCTCGATTCGTATTGGACCGAGTCCTCTTCCCTCGATCCACTTTTGGATAGAGTCCTACAACGAGAATCCATTTAGATCGAGTACAACAAAATCGATCCATGCCGTCCCTGTCCGCCAATCAAGTTCCTTCAACTTGATGCATCAGGATTGATGACATGGCGATCGATGGCATAAGTGTATCAAGTGACACTCAATCGAACTGCTCCAAACTTTGGTAGTTTGGGATTTTTTTATAAGTATGATATTTTGACAATTTTTCTTTATGTATGTAGGGATTTTTCCCGGGTTTGGCTAAACCATCGTATCCCCGTTTTTAAATATCCAAGCTCATATCCATTTTGTACCCATTGCGTGAAAGGGTTTACAAATTGGTTCCCATACCTATGGTTTTCTAGTACACGTGAGTAATACATTTCCATTCATCCAACATTATTATAACTAAAAGTTACATGTAAAATTTTCAATTATAACATTAATAAGACCTACTATATCATAAAGTCAACAAAGATACAATCATTCTTAATACAATTCAAAACAACTTATCCTAAAAAATCCATTAATCCATAAGATATAGTTAAATATTTTTCAAGTCGTTATTATCTGAACTGATACATCTACTAAGTAATAAATAACTAACATAATCTTTGTTAACAAGGGGGAAAAGTGAAAGAGTGAAGGAAGGGTTGAGGGAAAGAAATTACATTTTGGTTTGAGTGTTCACTAAATTGCATTTCTACAGTTTTTTTTTCTTGAGTTCCCCACACTATCATTGGCATGTTACAAACTTTTTACTGGTTTTACCCATACCTGCCCCAAATGCATCAAACTTTTTACTGGTTTTATCCATATTCATCCAATACCCAGTCAATTTGGGGATTCCCCATGTTAACTGAGTCGGGGATGGTAGGTCATGGGTTTCATTTCCATCGTTAATAACATAAGTATTCTACAAGAGATAATGAGAACATAGATAGGTCTTAAAGAAGGTGGACGATTTTCAAAATTAACTCAACAATGCCTACGCAATCACATAAGATAGGATTTTGTACATTACACCCAAAAACCTGAAGGAACTTCTCCTAATTGGTTGGTCTTTAACACATCGTGTATTAGATCCACGTCATACAAAGTGAGAATATAGGAGATTGACCTATGAATTGCAAACTCTTAGAGGTCCGAGGTAGGGATGCTCCAAGTTTTCCTATCTCTTCATCTTAAGCACAAAATGTTTCGATTATACACATTTATACCCCTTTTTCTTGGCCGTTTGACTTGTGTTTCATCTTCCTTGATGTTGTTTTACGCTAGATTTTGCATGTTTAAGTGTATTTCAGGTCCTAGCAGGTAAAATTGGCAAAAGGAACGAAGTCGGACAAAAGGCAGCCAAAATGCGACAAAATGGTCAAAAGTTTCAAAGCTCATGGTCCAGAGCATTTTATCACGGACAGGCCATGACATCTACATCAAAACCGTGAGAATTGCACGAATTCCAGGAGGCCGATGTCCTCTCGCGGGCATGTGCAAATGTCATGGTTTGCCAAATGTGACATCCATACAATAAGCGTAAGGATTGCAAAGTTCCATGAGTCTAAAGTCATCTCGACGACGCTTGCAAATCTCACGGCCTCAGATCGTGAGAATTACACCCAAACCGTGAAGATTGTAAGTGAAATTGCTCAAGTTTGGTTGACCTCACGGTTTGGCTGCAAACCTCAAGGTTATAACAAGTGACCCTGAACTTTGCACTTTCTGACTATATAAAGAAGAAAAAATCGGATTTTGAAGGGAAGAGTCTAGAGTGAGAAAATGCATATGCTAGGTAGAAAGAGAAAGTGAATCTGAGAATTGGAGCGTCAAATCACAATTGGAGTTAAAATCTATCACCAAGGGTTGAACCTTGAAGTGCAAGAGCAAGAAGCCAACCTTCTAAGATGTTTTATTCTCTTGACTTGGTATCTCTCTCTCTCTCTCTCTCTCTCTCTCATATCATAAGCTAAACTTTCTATCACTTGGGTGTTGTGGAATTCTAGTTGTATGTGTTAGATTAGATGAATAATTGATTGTTGATTATATATTTATTTGAGGTCTCATGAATTGTGTGGGTCTTGATCAAATTCTCTCAATTATATATCTATTAACCTAAGGTAGAGAATATTCAATTAGGTTGATTAGAGAACTTACCTCAATCTTAATGGTGGGTCGATGGATCGAGCGTAAAATCAGGCTACATTGTCTTATTGGATTGCATTCCAATAGAGGGAATCTATTTTGAAATGCCCTAGACGTTCTATTTCTTAGGATGTGAAAACTTTCACTCCGGAATGTCCGCTTGACACGCTACGACACAACACCAAACTGCGACCAAGTGTAATCGCATTCCAGGAATGCAGTAAAGTGGCAAGTTCTAATTATCAACCTGGGGTCTAGATCTACTGCCTACTCCGTGAATATCTATTATCTAGCCAACTAAGTCGAGTGATTGTTGTTTTAACTAAAAGCAATAGGAAAGGAGGAATTGATTCGATTTTCTAAAGCAAAGGAAGAGTCACTCGGGAATGAGTCCCCCTAGCTCCTTAGTTAGGTCTCAATTGTAATTATCATGGGTTGATTTACTGTTGATTAAATTGCGGAAGATCCGACAAGATCTTGGAATCTCTTAAGCTGACCAAGCCCTCTCAGTCTAACTACCCGACAGACGACTATCCTTCACCGGGATAGAAAGCTAAAGCAATAAGCACAGAACTCCACTACTGGAATTGGATTCCAGTACAAAGCAGTAGATTGACTAACTCTCGTATAGCCAATCTACTACTACCAAATGATGAAGCTCTAACAACCTAATCAGATTCTATCTATCTCAAGTTTAGCAGAAATCAAGAAAAGCTGATCAGACTTCAATCAATTCAATGAATCAAGCATCATTCGATTAAAATCAAACAGTATGGCAATCCCAAGTCATTACAATCATGATCCCTAACACATGGAACTAGGGTTCTTCATGCCCAAGTGAGAGAGGTTCTACTCCATAGAGAGAGAGAAAAATAGAATACAAAGGAGTCATACTCATAACAATGGGAAGAATCTACTCTGGGATGATGATTTTCACTCCTATGATGATCTCCAAGCTCGATTTGATGAAACCCAGCTCCAAGATCGCTTCTAGGATGTGTTCTTCGCACTTTCTCTCTCTAGGGCTCTGTTTTTGCTCTGAAAATTAGATCCCTCACTTGTGGCTCGAAATTGGGTTAAAACCCAGAATTCCCGACTAACACGGGCAGGCCACACGGCCGTGTGGCTTACCCAGCTGCCCGTGTGAGTGTCAAAACGCGGAGTTTCGATTAAGTGGACTTCAGGCTACCTATACGAACACGACCGTGTGGAATATCCAGTATGCCCGTGTGAAGCCTCGGTAAATCCCACACGGCCACATGGGTTCAGTACACGGCCGTGTGGGTTTTAGGAGTGCCCATGTGGCTTCCTCAGCATCTCGCCACACGTCCGATCTTTGTCCAATCGACCCCGAACTCGCTCCCAAACCTTCATTCACGTACTAGGACCTGAAATATCACAAACAAGAACAACCTAGCGTGAAATCGGCCTAAAACACGAGAATCAACATCTCAAACGGCTCAGGAATAGGGGTAAAAACATGTACAATTAACGGTCTATCATCGCTCTAAGTGTGGTTGAGTAACAGCTCAATCAGGAATAGGATTCTTTGCGGTGTAAATCATGAGTTGACAAACTTGGACAATTATTTGTCAGTCTATTTTGCAACTAGAGGGATACAACACCCGAGTGAAT